TCCTTGGCGAATGGCTGATTCACACTAAGGGGAAATTCTGGCATTTCAATAACTAAACCATGTGAAATGATCCCCCAACACGTCTGTGTTCCCAACATTTTCCTATCCTCCCGTACACACACATGGTTCTAGTGTAGAGAGCACAGCACTTGTAGTCAGGTTCCAATATATGTTCAAACAAAATGATTAATTTTAATGGAAACTGTGCTTCCTTCCATGTCTCACAAAGACCTATCAACAATGCATATCCTTGATGCACAGATCCATCCACTCACTTATACATTATACAGCTCACCTCTGCTAAAACAGTGTAAACAGCACAGATACAGGAATAGCAGGTAATTGGCATGCAGCATACAAACAAAGAACAAATGCCATCCTCCTCTGTCACCCCCAAATGCGCACTCCATGTATTCTATCTCTGTCACCACCCCCGCCCCCACCTCCTATGTTTCTCCTCTCTGTTCCTTATTAATTCATTTATGGATTTTCTTACTTTTCATTTATCTCTAAGCTCTCATCATTCATTGCAATTCTACTGGGAAATTCATGCTAGATGGCTTTCAGCATCCTGCTAGCCAGAACAATCAGATTTAAGGGAACATTTGTGCCAGGCTCCGTGTCAGCCAATATTCTTTCTATCTAGGTAATCAGCAGATATGGCACTGCCCTTCTGATCACATCAATTTCAATTCAGATTGCTGTGAACTGTCAGGCTAATAAAACAAAGACTCTTCTCTCTGGGCCCCAGGATGCAGAACACCTTTACATAATACAGTCACACCACTGCTCAAAGTGATGCTAATAAGAGCCAGCAGTTTCCCTACAGATAGTCAACTGCAAAAGAGACACAAAGGGGAAACACAAGGAGTGACAAAGAAATGTTTGCTATGTCCAGAGGTCACTCTGCTTCCTCTTCTTATTCCACACCTGTGACTGATGTTTGAATTCAGAAAACCATTCATGAAAATGTTTGCAAATAACAGGATGTTGCAAAGTCATTCTCGTCCAAATCTGTTATCTTTTCCATCATCAAGGGACCCATTAAATGGTCTCTATTTCTGGCAGAAAACAAAATTTATCCAGCAAGTCTATTCCACATTGACTTGAAAAGAAGGGAGAGGATAATCAGGAAGAGAAAAATACAACCTGAAATC